TTTTATGATAATTCTATATCCTGCCTTTTCACATCTAAAACTTTTCTGGTGAATTACTTAGGGCTATATAGTGTGTGTGTGTGTGTGTGTGTGTGTGTGTGTGTGTGTGTGTGTGAATGTAAGTTTCAAATGAGAATGCTTTTATTTCTTCTTCTTTTAACATTTATTCATTTATGCTGCTCCCCTATGTTTATGTGTGTATTTATGCATGTGGTCATACATACATGTCATAGACTCTGTATGGATGTCAGAGAACACCTTGGGGGGATGGGTTCGCTTCTTCCATCATGAGGGATCTAGACATTGAAATCAGGTTGTGAAGCTTGGTGCAAGTACCTTTACTTACTGAACCTATTTGATTTCACTGGAAACTTTTGCATATATTCTTAGGAAGATTGGTCTAACAGTTTGTTGTTCTTGTCTTTGTCTTGTCTGGCTTTGGTGTGTCAGTAATACTGGCTTCTTAATAGTTGATAGTATTCCTTTTCTACTTTGGGGACTATCTTTGAAAAGTGTTGCTACTAATTAAGGTTATGTATGTATATGAGTAAGGACAACAAATGGTTAAATTCTGTTTCTTAATCTAATATGCTAATCTGTGTCTTTTGACTGAGGAATTGGTATTATTAACGTTGAGGTCTTTTTAAATTCAAGTCAGTATTAATTCTTTGCATTTTGTTGATGTTGTAGTGCTCATTTTCTCATTTTCCTCATTTGTGGACTCACTGTGCCAATATGGCCCTTCTTTCCTATAACCTCACTAATGTATTTATATTCCTTTCCACTGGGAATTTTTTCTAAGTATCATCTATAAATATGTCCTAATGATCATTAATTCCTTCAGCTTATTTTTATAATGAAAGGTTTTATTTTCTCTTCCATTAAGATAGGTAGTTTTGCTTATTATAGTAGTCTGGGTTAATAGTTGTCTTTCAGAACTTACAGTACAGCATCCCAAGCCCTCTTGACTTTCAAAAGTTTCTGTTGAGAAATGAGCTGTTATTCTGTATTTGTGTGTTCCATATGATTTATCTCTGACAGTTTTCCATATATAGCATTTGTTCTGTGTATTTAATGTGTTGACGAGAATATAATGCAGGGAGATTCTTTTCTGATCTTGTTTGGTGTTCTTGATGCCTCCTATAAGTGGACTGATTTAGCTTGTGGTATGTTGAGAGTCTATATGAAGTTTAGTGGGCTAGAAATATGGTTTATTAAATAAAGGCTCCTGTTACAAAGTGCAAAATCTGCACTCAAATCCTTCGATGCATAGGTTGGAAGGAGAGAACCAATTCCTGCAAATTGACCTCTGGCATCCACCTATGTGCAAGCACACACACACAGACACACACACAGACACACACACATACACACACACACACACACACACACACACACACACACACACACACACTTGCACATGTATGGGTGTGATAAACAAATTACAAATAAATGCAAATTCATTTAAAATCTTACAAAACATTTTTCTAGTATTTTTTTTAAATGACCACCAGGAATTGGAGCTTCTTGTGTTTTCTTTTGTATTGTATTTTTGTTTTATTTTGTTTTTGGCTTTTCCTGCTTTATAAATCATTGGGTAGTATTAACATCTCAACAATATTTACTTTTCTAATCCTTGTAAGGTTTTGCCTTCTTTTGTGTCTTTTCTTTCAGTAACTTATTTTCAGCATATGTGTTTTGTTTAATTGATCCAGTTAATTCCATTTTGTCTGCCATTCAGATTGCTTTTCCAGCTCTCCTTGATCATTCTTTTTTGTATATTTCTATAGCTTTCTGTTTAATCTGACTTATTTTTAGTAAACCTGAATGTCAAATATGTAGTACATATTTGGACATTTGAATGAGTAGCTACTTTGAGTTATTCAGATTATATTTATTGCACAAGGAATACAATAATCGGGCCATTTCTTTCCTAAAAATTTATTTCCCAGCCTCCATAGTATTTGTTCCCCTCAAATCTCCTGTTTATGTAACTGTTCTTAAATCCTCTATATTCTGTAGAAATCTCACCACTGTTTTCCCCATGCCTTAGATGTTCTATGATAATCTCATAGTCTCTTACCTCCAAAAGCATGTAGGCCTTGTGTTTCCTAGAGTGTGTGCTATTTTGTTTTTCATTTGTTTGTTGTTCATTTTTTACCTCCAACCCAATACTCAAACTATAGCTCAATTTCAGTCAGCTCTCATCATTAAGTAATACACAAACCATTACTCCTTTCAGACTCTCTGGAAAGTAGAACATAGCACAGAAGTTCCACTCTTTTCTTTTCCTTGTTGAGGAACCAGGAGTTGATTGCTCAACAATCAACTTTTAGGAAAGTGTGTGTGTGTGTGTGTGTGAGAGAGAGAGAGAGAGAGAGAGAGAGAGAGAGAGAGAGAGAGAGAGAGAGAGGAGAGAGAGAGAGAGCAAATGGCTGACCCTTTACAATTTAGTTGCTTATATCTCTTTCATTATGGTGTCTCTTCAAACATACTACTCAAAGCATTGTGGTTTATCTTAACAAAATGCTTTTTAAATATTCACCTTTCTGAGTCTTCATATTCTCCAGGAATAAATTTGATAATTTCATTTTTATTACTCCATATCTAGTTATTGAGGAAGTTACTAGAAGATCTTACATTTCCATAGAAGATACCTCTTCAGATTGGCATTTATCAGTCATCATCAGCTATATAGTTTGTTTTATCTTATGAAGGCTGGTCTTTTTGTTTTTTGGAACATCAGAATCCAGCTACAAAATTCCATTCTATTTCATTGCCCACATAGTCTAGACCCATCCTGTCTCATCACATTTGTGTTCCAGGGCCAATATTTTTCTGTGACTCATCTTCTGCTCCAGTGTGTGGTTATAATTACCTTGAACTCTCACCATACTCATGCCTCTTATGAACTCGATGTGTACCTTTCAGGTATCAGAAATATATTCAGAGGGGACATGTTGATGGATCAGTAGTTAAGAGCATGGCCTGCTCTTGTAGAGGACCAGAATTTGTTTCCCAGCACCAGTGTTAACCAGCTCACAACCACCTGTTAAACTCAATTCCAGGAGATCTGATGCTCCCTTTCGGCTTCCACAGGCACCTGCACTCAATAGCACATACCCGTCCAGAAACACATAATTAAGAATTCTTCAAAAGTGTTTACATTTAGTTGCTTCACCTTCTTTCATCAATCTCCCCGATGCTAATACCTCAGTAGGACTTTCACTCTCTAGTCCTAACCTGTGGGGTTTTGTTTGTTTTGCTAATGTATTCATTTCATAATTTGGGTATGATACTCTGAGCTGTGCACTTCTTTCCATTACCTGCTAGAGCAATTATGTCCTGGGGACAGGAAAGCAGCAGCTGTTTCACTGCTGTGGTGCTCTCAGCAAGCACCTTTAGGTTTTACAAAGTCACTCTTCTCCTGGATCTCAAAAGCCATGGTGGCAAGGACAGGGATAAAGTCTGCTGAATAAGAACTAAAAGCAAGGACCATGCAGATGTATGCTTTCCTTCTTCCAGGAATAAGGAGCATTGAGGACTGATTTGCAGAAAACATATACATATGGTTCATAAAAATTAAAGTATTCATATAGTCGAAGTCCACAGCATTCTTTACATGTTCTTCGGATACCTGCTGCTTATATTCAGAAATTTCCAGTAAACTTTTGAATGTTTTAAGTTTCTTGGCTACTCTGGAGTATTTTCTTTGCTGATTCAAAAACTAGAATTGCATATAGACTGGAAAAGTTAATTGTACTAATTATGTTTCACTCAAGGACTCAGGAATAGCATTTTGTTGACTCTATACCTAATCATTAACACCAGGCTGATACCTTTATATCCTACCTTTTACCTCTTACTACTTATGCTACCTTTCATCTTGGAGAGAAAGGATGTGAAGAGTGCCTCTCTCTCATTTTTAAAAACCTTCAGGGAGGAGAAAAACAGAATTGGTGATATTTTTAGGGAAATGTTCCTCAAAAGAGTGTTTTAGCTGTTGTTTCTGAGAAGGTCAGATTTCCCCGAATTGAACCAATGTTGCCAAGAATGGGTTGTCATCATTATTTTGGTCATTATACAAGTGGTATGCTGGTTACTATTATGCTACATAGCAAAAAGGGAATGTATCCAACACATTTGCTGAGCACAGAGCTCAGTCTATATCCTGGCTCAGATTTTGGTTAAGCCACTGATGTGTCTCTGGAATTATGCAAATTAAGGGGCAGGAGTGTCATATTTAATAATTAGTGTTGTAAATCATTGTACAACTTTTATACTCGTTCCTCCATCTTGGTCTGTGGTGTTTTGAGTGACAGCCAGGAGTGCTCTTAGCAGAACCAAAGTCCAAATAAGATTTTTTTCTTCCTTTTTTCCCCTTCCACTACTTTCCTATCCCTTCACTCTGGGATCAAGCACATAAGCTAGCACATGAGATCCATGGCATTATTATGTCACTGAGAAACACATTTTACCCAGCATCTTCTGGCTGTGCACAGTAATGTGTAACTTGCAGATGTCACACCAATGGAGGAACTTCAAATATTCATTTGAGTAACCGGGTGCCATTCCCCACACCTCAGTCCAAAGCTGAACAACAGCAGTATATCTTTGGTGATGTCACTGAGGCTTTGTTTTTCCAATTTAAGGAGGAAGGCAAAGGAAGTGAATAAAATATATTTAAAATTAGTATGAGCTTAGCTTTAAATCTTAAATCTCACATCTTAAAAGTTTAGCCTAGGGCTAACGGTGGCCCAGAAAAGTGAAATACAAGCATTCTCATTTCAGATTCAGTTTGAAAGTGAAACAAAACAAATGGCAAAACAAACTATGAAACACATTTCTGGAATAAAAATGACTGAGAGTCTACATATGTTTTAGTGCTGATTTGTAAAAAAAGTAAAATCAAACAAGAAGCATTTTTAAATCAATGTTTAAGGACATTCTATGATCTTACATTGTCCATGTTTGGAGAGAAATGAAACACTATCCAGGTGTCAAGATTAAATGTGTTTATTTTGTGTCAGTGAATACAATGGTATATTAGATACCACCACTCCAAGCTACACACCTATGCATTTGCCTCTAAACCTTCACACACTGTCAATCTCCATTGCGCTAACATTCCACCATTGAGCCTTCTATGTCTAGCAAAGTCAGAGTTCAAGTATTAAAAGAAAAGAACAGAAGAAAGGACAGTTGAGCTCCACTTTGTGTCATCAGTGTCCGCAGAAGTATCCAGGTGTCTCAAATGAATGTTTATTATCTTCAGCAGAGGGGAAAATGATAAGAAGAACACTAGTAATGGCACTACCAGGAAGAAAGAAGAGAGTGCAGATTAAAGAAGCATTTCAGAAGGGACAAGTTAGTTTCTCCTCAGTTAAGAATCCACATGATAGCATGGGTACAGGACATCGAGGTTAAAGTGTTCAATTTGTGGGCCACACACTTCAGCGTATTGGCAACTACATTTTTGCACCGAAACAGAAGCAGTACAGGTTTTATGTTCTACCATTACACTTCCAGGTTTTTCACTTATGAATATACCTGCCAACCTAATGATTCTTGCATGCATTAGTTTGCGTTTGTAGAGTTAAGTTTATTTCCCCAACCCTCCCACTCCCATGAACATTGCACTGTGAACTCTTTGCCCAACTTTAAGAGAATGTTGCTAAGGACAGCTCCGTGCCACCTCAGGACAAAAATGACCTGTCCCCTCTCCAGGCTACCTACGGACCAGTAGTATTGATCTCATCTCATCTTACATGCAGACAGACACTGTTCTCTTAATTTCCCCATGCCAGAGGCATACAAGTCGGCAGGTATGCTTACAAAAATGGAATCAAAATGAAAAAGAAAGAAAGGGTGGGGCAACAGAAAGAAAAAAGCTTTCTTGTTTGAAGCCTATTGTCCTAGAAGGAATCCATTGCTTTGAATTCACTTAAAGCCTGCACAGGCGAAATGTGTTTCTTTTGAGACCCCCGTCGAACTCGTGTCTGGAATTCTTCAGGCTTTTCTCTCTTCACAAGGGGCTTCTTTTCAGGAGCCTTCATCTTCCAAGACACAACCGGAGAGTTGACAGCTGCTGTCCCATAGACCTTCTGGTATTTGGTTGAGGCTACATAAGATGCTTTCACCGTTAGGACAACAGCATTCATCAGGTTTTTGGCTGCCTGGATGAGTGATGTAGCACTGTCCAGCTAGATAAGGAGAAAAAGAATATATACTGGGTCAGTCAGGGCCTCAAAGTCACAAGACACAGGTACAGTTTCACACATCAGGTAGTGTTGTGCTTCTGCTAGTGTTGCAACACATAAGCAAATTATCACAGGATAAAGTTAGCACATCATAAACCAGCCACCTGCCTTCTCCTGCCCTTGATCCCAAAATAAGCAAAATCAGGTTGCTCTACAGTACGTAGTTCTCTAAAATCCCAATACAACTGAAGATGAAGCACTATTCTTAGCATGTATATATCCCCATGGGGAACGTATATTATTAGACTCATTCACAATGGTAGCAGTTACTCAAACTGTTTGAAAAGTATTTGCCAGACACTGAATACTTTTTTAAGAAGCCACAAAGTTTACATTTCAGTTTCCTGCTCCTGCCTATGGAAGTATCTTTATATAATATTTCTACTTCCTGGGCACTGGAGTGGTAGAAATGAAAACAACGGCCTACACATGACTTGTACTTATTGATCTAAGAGTATGCACTTCAGAATTTCTAGGTCATGAACATACCGCCTGTGAAAATATCAGTTATTGTGGCATGATTTTCTGGGTTGGACAGTGTTCAGAGAGGCCTGCATACCCATTTGTTCATCAACTGTTTCCTATGTACTCTGCATCAAATACTATGCCAATTTCTAAAGTACTTCCCCATTTAATTCTTTAAAGTGGTCTAGCTAGGTATTTTCACTAATGCTACTTTTTGAAGAGAGAGGTGGATCAGGAACTTGTTTAGTTTTAAATTAATGAAAGTCTTACAAATTGGATCATACTGCCACCTATTGGATGGGGTAATTAAAAAAAAAGGAAAACAAAGCAAAACAAAAACCCTGCCATAATGATCAAGGGGGATCAAGACTATGATGGGGGAAAGCACAGCACAGCTGCCCCAAGATAGTGAGAGCTCAGGGACTCTGGACTGACAGCTGGAGAACCTGCATGGGACCAAAGGAGGCACTCAAAATGTGGGTGACAGTTATGTGGCTTAATCTGTTATGAGGGGGGATATTGGGGGAAGGCCCTTACTGTGGGACCAGAATTTATCCCTGGTGCATGGACTTCCTTTTTGGAGCCCATTCCTATGGTGGTATCCCTTGATCAGCCTTGATAGAGGGGGTACTGGCTAGGTCCTGCCTCAACTTGGTATGCCAGAGTTTACTGACTCCCCAAAGAAGGCCTTACCCCATCTGAGGAGTGAATGGGGGAGGAGTAGAAGGAGGGATGGGAAACTGGGGTTGGTATGTAAAATGCTTGGTGGCGCATGCCTTTAATCCCAGCACTCGGGAGGTAGAGGCAGGTGGATCTCTGTGAATTCCAGACCAGCCTGGTCTACAAGAGCTAGTTCCAGGACAGCCTCCAAAGCCACAGAGAAACCCTGTCTCAAAAAAAAAAAAAAACCCAAATAAATAAATAAATAAATAAATAAATAAATAAACTGCCTTAGTAATGTTCCTTTTACGAATGTGAATGCTTTTGTATTGGGGCATAGATGTTCTCAATTGAGACTTCATCTTGATGGACTTTTCCTGTGATGAATATGAAATGACCATCATCTCTTTTGATTGATTTTACTTTGAAGTCTAATTTGTTAGGTATTAGGATTGCAACACCAGTTTGTTTCTTGGGTCCATTTGATTGGAAAGAGGGAGGGGTGATAAGCAAGGGAGTCAAGACCTTGCTGGAGAAACCCACAGAACCAGCTGACCTGACCTAGTGAGAGCAAAATATCCCCAGTTGTAAAGCTGGGGAACCATCATTGGACCAAACCAAGTCCTCTGAATGTGGATTCCATTTCAGAGGCCTGGGCAGGCTATGGGACCTCTAACAGTGGAACCAGTATTTATCCCTCGTCCACAAATGGACTTTGGGTGCCCATTCCCTATGGAGGGATATTATTTCAGCCCAGATACATGGAGGAGGGCCTAGGCCCTCCCCCAAATGATGTGACATACTTTTATGATCCCCCATCGAAGGCCTCACTATCCTTGGGGAGTGGGTGGGTTGGGGGGGGTCAATGGAGAGCATGGGAGTATGGGAGAGAGAGGGAATGGGGGATTGATATGTAAAATAGGATTGTTTCTAAATAAAAATTTAAAATAATAATAAAATAACAAAAAATCCAAAAAAAAAAAAAAAAAAAACCACCCCTGCCATAACAAGTCATTGAAGAAGCCAATGGAAGAGACCAAGAGTTGCAGCCAGGCAGAGCATGGTAGGTAGATCCTACAGGATTCACATAGCTAGTTCTAGGATAGAGAGGACTATAAGGGGTTACATCCTGGCCTACATGGAGAGACCTTTGTCATAATAAAAAATAATAAACAGTAAAATAATAACAGTGCTTAAAGCCCATCACTTGACCAGCAATTTTAAGTTTACCTAATTTCTGCTATTGGCTAAGCCATTTCATACATAAGGTATCCTGAGCCATTTAATAACTGTTTCAATTCTACTAGGATCAAAATCTGAAACATATATGCTAGCAAACTACATTTCCCAGAGTCTCTGTCAGCAAACTTTCTACATGTAATCTAATGAAATAAACAAATCACTAGCTAGACTTGAAGTCTTACTCCAGTTTCAGATGTGTTGCTTTGCACATCTGTGAGAAGTACAGAAGCCATCTCACAGTTTAAAGAACTGAACTCAGGACCCTCCTCTGAATTCCTTTGTTAGGTAGTTTATATAACTTACGTGTGTGTAAACTATGGCTACTTGAAGAAATATAAATGAAGCACAGAGCTGTGTAAGGTTTAGTGATTAGCAATAGCTTTAACAAAAGAGACTACTAAATCCTGTGGCTCCACCCTTCCATTCACATTGCTTCATGTCATCTCTTGTGAACAAAATGCGCACCATGTAGTAACTGGGGTCATTGAAAATTGGATCAATGCTTCCCTGATGCAATTATTTTGACAGATTGTTGCTCCTTATTCTTCATAAAAGCTAAAAAGAGGTTTTACACTGAGTTAAAATGATTGCAATCTGATGAGCAATTATTCCATCATCCAAAACTTTGGAGTCTGATAACTGAGAAAAATATAACATTCTTTGCATGTATGAGTCTCTTGTAATACTAATGAGTCGAAGCTTTGCCATGAAAAGTAAGAGTCAGACTGCATAATACTGTAGGAAAGTAACAGTTTGTGGTTCTAAGCCATGAGTCAGTGGAAATATAATGAATCACTGTGTGGGTTAATTTAACCAAGTAGAACAACCATTTAGTATTTCACTTTGCCATCTCTATCAGACTGTATAAGGTATATATTTCTAGATAGTAGCCTAATCTGTGTAGTTTAACTTACTCCAACTCTATTTCTAAAGCTAACTTTAATGAGAAAATTCTAGATTATTCAATATTAATATCAGAAATAAGCCAAGCTTCTCAATCTCTGTCTTTGTTTGCCATGCCAGCATCACCTGGGAAATTCCATTTTACAGGTCCAAACTGAAAATTTGTGAAACAAATTAAAAATAAAAATTAAAAAGTTTCCATTTTAACAAGCAACCTAGGGGATTCTGATAGATATATAAAATTTTGGTAACAACTAAATTAATGAAACCCAAAGAGGATAGTCAGCATATTTTATCAATTGCTTCCAGTACTTCACAATATCTGACTGAATTTCACATTTTCAGTTTTTCCCTCTATCCCTCCAAATGGACAGATAAGTAATGGATGGAGATAAGACAACATGTTGGACCAAGAAGAACACATCCATCATGATATTTGCACAAGCTAGATAGAACATTTCCCCATGCCCTTCATCCTCAGCTATGATCACTTCCACATCAGTTTGTCAGGTTTCAAAAATGGCTGAAGCTTATTCATAAAGTGAGTTAATTCTATTCTATGTTCTTGGTAAGATAGAGAATAAAGTTCTATGCCAGGGATAATATTGCTTTTGGGAATTATGATAGAATTAGTAGACTAAGACAAGATATGTCTACTATGATATTAAATGGCTCTTGAAGAGAGTACCTTGGGGGGATCTGAATAAAAAAGATATAAGTAATTTGGAGACTTTTAGCCACAGATTTCATTTTTAGGTAGATGGGATCTAATTATGCAACAAAACTAGGGAAACTTCTTTTCTTCGGAACCTATTTGTTCTCCCAGCCTGATGCAGAAGTCCTGTGAATAAAGCTCATATGTTGTTGAGAGTTCAAGGGTTCTGAAATAGAAGCCCAGTGGTTTTGCTCAAAACACCTGCTAAGGCAGATACTGGAAGAGAGACCTAGACAACCAACCTTGAAGAAAATTACACACAGACAGTAAGCAGAATCAAAAATTTAATACAAAATGTGACTTTAAAAAAGTTGAATTCCAAAAGAATATTGTGTGTGTGTGTGTGTGAAGATTTACTAATCTTCAAGGGCCAGATCATAATGTATGCCTATGAATATTTTCAAAAGACAGCCATTACAACCAATACTAGGTAGTGACAGACAGGGAAACATGTTTGCATTTTAATTTTTTTCCAAAAGAATATTTTGTCTTGTGCTCTAGATCTACTTATATGATTTGGCTGTTTTAAGCATGGGTTATTTTTTTTAATTTCAAATATATGAGTTTTGTTTATTCTTGTCCAAACTGGCTTCTAGCTGAAAAGTTTTAGGTGAAATTTTAATCTTCAAAAGATATTAGAAAGAGTAAAGATATGTGGCATGCTTTCTTTTAGCAGGGTTTAAGGACACCTATTTAGCATAATTACTTTCTATTTTCTGATGTTTTACTATAACAGTGGCATTTTCAAGTAAGATGAGTAAATTAACATATGTAAGTGAAGTTCTAATAATAATAACTGACATTAATTGAGCACTTATAAGGAGGTGGCTGGCATTGCCTTAGTTATGTTAATTAAATTATGTGATTCAATTTTCAATACTTTTCAAGTAGCAAAGATTGTTGCATTCATTTCATAGGGAAGGAAACTACTGTTTAGGGATTCAAACTAATTCCATCT